TTCTTGAATTCATGTACTGGGGTAGTCCATTTCTCCATTCATTCATCCATTTCATTGATTTTCACCAGATAAGTGTGATGAGCAGGAGTGAGAGGGATCTCAAGGACGTGGGGACAATTCAGCACCTTCTTTTGCCATCTGGAGGCGCATGATATCACTGGGGATAGAAATAGTGTGAGCTGAGGCGGTAGCAGGTTACAAACAAAGATGCCATATGGGGTCGATGACCACACAGAAAACAGTGATGGAAGCCACTATAAACGTTGCACGGGTGCTGGCGTGGGAACCTGCAAGACTAAGACGCTGCAAGGCTTCAGCAACAAGACACCGTCATTATTATTGCTAGCATCACCACTGTCAGCATTGAGAAAGGGTCTCTTGTAACCCAGGCTGGCCTCAAACTCTAACTGAGGATAATTGAGTTCTGATCTGTCTCCCTTCACTTCCCAAGTGCTGGGGTGGGGTTACAAGCATGTGCCACAGTACCTGGTTTTCTGCAGTGCTGGAATCAAATCCAGGGCTTTGGGGCATACTAGACAAGCATCCTACTAGTTGAATTATGTCCTTAGTCCATCATCATTATCATCAATATCAACCACCACAACCACAATAAACAAAGTCCGTTTATGTAGCCCTACCTGACCTAGAGCTCACTATCTCAGTGGTTCTCAACCTGTGGGCTGAGACCGCTTTTCAGGTCAAATGACCCCTTCACAGGGGGCTCATATCAGATATCTTGTATATCAGATATTTACATTATGATTTATAACAGTAGCAAAATTACAATTATGAAGTAGCAAAGAAATGATTTTATGGTTGGGAGTTGCCACAACACGAAGAACTGTATTAAAGAGTTGCACCATCAGGAAGATTGAGAGGCACTGCTCTATATAAACCAATGAGGCTTTGAATTTACACCAATCCTTGGGCTTCTGCCTCCTGAGTGCTAGGATTACAGGCATGAGACTGCCTGGCTTGACCTCAGTGTTAACCTGAAGAACTCAGGATAAGCCTGGAGAAATGGCTTAGCAGTTTAAGCACCTCTTCTTGCTAGAGGATCCAGGTTCGATCCCCAGCACCCACACGGCAGATCACAATTGCCCATAACTGCAGTTCCAGGGGACCCAACACCTTCTTATGGCTTTTGATGGCACAAGGCACGCATGTGGTGCACAGATATACATGTGAGGAAAACACATAAAATAAATCTAAAACCTTTTAAAACTTAGAGTAAAAATAACAGCTTTTCTCCAAGTAAAGCACATTTGATACAATATCAATCAAACTTCTGGCTGAATTTTAGAGGCAGCGAGAGGTTTAACAAAATTCTATATTCCATTTGAAAAAGATACAGGATCCAGAATTGGCGAGTTGTATTTACTTCCTGATTTTGTAGTACATTGGACATAACCAGAAGGAGCCGGTATTGACATAGATCCACTAAGTATGGGAATTCCATGATAAAGAGACTTTTCAAAACTCAGTTGCAAGGGCCCGGGGTCCCTCACTGGGCAATAACACTTGCTGGAACAATGGGTGCCCTGAGTTGGGTCCACAGAACCCATGTAGAGATGGAGAGAGAGAGCTGACTCTACACTATGGCACACATACCCTGCATATAATACACACACACATATATACACACAACACACTAGTAATAAAAGTTAAGCGGCAAGAAAGAAATTTCAACAGTTTTTTTCAGCTTCCACGGGGAAGGTCTTTTCTTTCCAAATACATATTTTTATATACATACATACATGTACACATGTGTGCATACACATACATTGGGAGGGGGAATTCTGCCTGCCAGAGGTTGAGCAAAGATAATTAGCCCCCAAAAGTAGACCCAAAGCCCTCCAACCCATGGCCCCAGCTGGCCTTCAAGGCTTGAGATCACACATATTAAAGTAGGAAAAAAAAGGGAAAGGAAAAGAAAGCCTTTCTTCTCATGATCAAAGTCATCCAAACCAACCAATGCAAACGGGGGCGGGAGAGGGGGCGGGGAGAGTGAAATCGCCTCTAGCCCACTACACACTGTTATTCCCTGCCCCACAAAGCTCAGTTCATAATGGATATGGAGTTTTGAGAGCCTGCTGAGTTCACACCATGTCATATTGTGAATATGTAACAACATTTGAAAATAATTTCTGATGGCTGTATGCTTCCTATTTGAGAGGCAGACACTATGGCTTCCTTAGCTTTTCCCTCCGAAGTTGACTGTTTTCCAGGCTGCTATTATACATAACGATTCCAGGGACAAACCTGTTGGCTTTTAAAGTCTTTTCTGATCATTTTCCTGGGCTACATTCCTACAAGGGGGTTAGTTGGTCAAAGGGCAAAGGGTGCTTAGAGCTTTGATAAACACTTGGCAGATGCCGGCCTGAAAGATGCGCGTGCGCACTCAGCTCGCGCTGGCTTCCCATCTTCGCCAGCACCAGCATTATTTTTAGTGTTTTCACTTTAGCAACTAGCTAAGCTCGCCATGTGCCGGCGTCAGTGCTAGGCATTATGTAATGTCATCTTCACATGCACCTACAGGAGGGGACACTTATTTTGTAGATCAAGAAGCCAGCGGAGAGGACTCCTTCAGTCCCTCAGGGTCTCGAAACCAGCAGGAAAAAAGCAAAAACAAAAACAAATAACAACAACAAAACCCTGACCCCTTCGTTACCTGCGCCTGGGTTCCCACCAGGCTGCAGCATTTGTTTGTTTGTTTGCCACAGGGTCTCGCTGGTCCAGGCTGGCTTTGGATTCGCGATTATACCGCCTCTATCTCTCTTGCAAGAAGCTCATAGGCTGGGGCCAGTATGCCCGACCAAACCAGAGTGCGTTTTCTTTTACTTTAAAATAATGATGTTATTTTGACCCAAGATCTTACTGTGCAGTCCCAGCTAGCCTGGAGCTAGCGATCTTCCAGCTTCTGCCTACCATGTGCTGTGCTGGGTTTATGGGCATTTTCCGACCTATAGGCTTACTCTTGTCACTTGCTCCCTTCCTAAATACCCCTGTCCCTCAAGGATGAAGCCCGTCCTTTCAGCTCGCCGTTTTCAGCCCCACCATCCAGGCTTCCTAAACACGCATCTCCCAGCTGCGGCTATCCTAGCGCCAGGTTGAGCACTTTGGCGCAATTAACCCCAACTACTGCTCAACAGGTCCAGGTGGAGTGAGACGACCTGGCACCTGTGCCTGCGGCACGAAGACCAGTCCAGAGCCTAGCGGACAGAGCAGTCACCTGATTGCAGCGACCGTGATTTGGTGTCTGATGTACCTAGCGCCACCGTGTGGCCGGTCCTCAAGGTGTGCGCTGGTGCAAAGTATGGGAATGACCCCTGAGCCAGGGAACAGACAGGAAAATGGTATTGCCAAAACTATTTGGGATGAGGGAGTCCTCGGTATCAGGATCGGTCTAGGGGCAGGATGAGAGAGTCATTAAGCAAAATTATAACTGGGCCAGTACTGATTGTAGAGGCAGGCGGATCTCTGTGAGTTCGAGACCAGCCTGGTCTACAAAGTGAGTTCGAGGCCAGCCACAACTACATAATGAAACAGAAAGGAAAATCAGGAGCTGGAGAGCTTGTTCAGTGGTTAAGAACATTTGTTGCAGCCGGGCGATGGTGGTGCACGCCTTTAATCCCAGCACTCAGGAGGCAGAGGCAGGCAGATCTCTGTGAGTTCGAGACCAGCCTGGTCTACAGAGCTAGTTCCAGGACAGGCTCCAAAGCCACAGAGAAACCCTGTCTCGAAAACAAAAAGAACATTTTGTTGCTCTTCCAGAGGACCCAGTTTCGTTTTCCAGCACCCATTTGATAGCTCACAACCACCAATAAACACCACTTCCTAGAGGATCAGATGTCCTCTTTAGACGTCCGTGGGCACTAGGCACCCCCCCACACACACACAGTACACGCACAAACACAGTACACGCACGTAATACAGGCAAAACATTCATATGCAGGACACATGAAATAAAAATAAACCTAAATAAAATGGGGGCAGGGGTGGAGAGATGGTTGAGAGCACTTGTTCTTGCAGAGGACCTAGGTTCAATCCGTAGAACCCACAAGATGGTTCACAAGTGTTCGCACCTCTAGTTTCAGGATGTACATGATGTACAGACAAAACACACACAAAAAATAACTCTTTAAAAAACAAGACTATAAAAGAAAAACTGAATTCACACACACACACACACACACACACACACACACACACACCTCGCTCCCTTTGGGGACCCAGCCATGACAAGCTCAAAAGAGACCCGAGTCTCAATTATCCCTAAGGCAATACCTAGTTGCAAGAAAGACCACAAACTGAGATTATCCAGGCACCACCCAGGAACAGATCATCCAAAGGAAATTCCTAACGTTCCAAACGTTGTAGATAGGGTCACCTGCCAGTACACCCCCATCGCTTTTCACCAGGACACCCCTAGACAATTGTCAGCCAATCAGGGTCCTGAATCTTAGAAATCCCTCACCCCTACCTTTGCTACTACAAAAACCCAACTCTGAGCTAGGGGCTCTCTGATCATTACAAGATGTTAGACACGTGGAGAGACAGAGTTTGCAAACTTGTGTAAGAATAAAGGCTCTTTGCTTTTACATACAGGACACGGTCTCCTAGTTGGTTTTGGGGGGACTCCGGGATCTGGGCATAACACTCTTCACGCCAGCTCGCTCCTGTCCCAGCCCCACAAGGGCTCAGGATCACCGGACGGACAGTAGTGACTTCAGAAGGCAGGCTGCAAATTGACCCTCCTAGAAGTCCTCCGCCATGCTCCTGCCAGATAAACAGACGAGCCTAGGAGCTCACAATCGCCCCTTCCCGATTCCGGGGCCTGGGAACCCAGAGTCTGCGCTGCCCTGCGCCTCCTGGCATCTGGGAGCCACCGTGGCTCCAGCGACTGAGGAGCGGCCGCAGCCCCAGCGGCTTGACCCGCGCGAAGCTGGTTCCCACGGCTGTGGCGGCCGCGGTGAGCCCTCCGGACCTCTAGAGGGCGCTCCGCGCAGGACTGCCCAGCCGCCGGGCCTTCCGAGTGGACAAGCTGCTGCCGGGTCCCGAGAAGCCCGCGAACCGGCGAGCCCGCGCCGTCAATTCTGCGGATGGCTTTCGCGTCTTCCGCCTTCGTGGATTGCTGAGAGGTGAGGGGTGCCTGCGTGGTGCTCGCCCTGGAAGCCTCTGTGGAGGGCTGGGCACCTGGGTAGAGTGGACTGCAGGGGTAGTGGTTACTGTATGGAGGCTGCAGGCTTTGTGTACAGGCGAGGCCACGGGATCAGATGCCCGGTGTTGGATATATCTGCGGGGAAAGGGAGTGGAGGAATGAGGGGCAGTGGAGGGACGTAGGGGTGTATTGTAGTGGAGGGAAGCTTTTCCCTCCTGTCCAGGAGAGTTGCTGGCTCCAGGAAGTGATGATTGCAGGAGAGAGAGAGAGAGAGAGAGAGAGAGAGAGAGAGAGAGAGAGAGAGAGAAGGTGGGGGCTAGGGGGCGGTGGGAAGGTGTTCTTGGGTTGGAAGGATGAAACCGTCAGAGTTGAAGAGATGGGAGTGTAGAGAGAGGTCTACAGGCAAGAGCGTTGTTCTTGGCAGCTGACCAGAACTGAAAGCGCGGGGGTCCAAAAGTGTCATTGTCTTGACAGGGTTGGGAGTGTGTAGACGTGCAGCCTAGCCTAGGCGTCTGTGGGCTAGGATGGGTGCTTTGGGAGGGGAGGGGGGCTCAACTGACCCAGAGTGGTGACCTGACCTTACCCACCTTCCCTCAGCAACCATGTTCAACCAACAATTCCAGCAGCAACAGCAACAGTTGCAGCAGCTGCAGCAGCAGCAGCTCCAGCAGCAGCAGTTGCAACAGCAGCAGCAGTTACTGCAGCTCCAGCAGCTGCTGCAGCAGTCCCCACCGCAGGCCCCCTTGCCCATGCCTGTCAGCCGGTGAGTTGCCAACTGGAAGAACGGAGGCTGTGGTCGCACTCAGACCCCTGTTTTGCGGTCCCAGGGGCATCCTTGTTTGAGTGTTAAGTGTCGTCAGTTTCCACCTCGGAGGGGTCTCCAGGTGGACAGCTTTCCCACCAACCCTCTGACGCTCCTGTTCCACCACACAGGGGCCTCCCCCAGCAGTCGTCACCGCAACAGCTTCTGAATCTCCAGGGCACCCACTCGGCCTCCCTGCTCAATGGCTCCATGCTGCAGAGAGCTTTGCTGCTTCAGCAGCTGCAAGGTATGACAGTTCTCAGCGTCCCATTTCCTCGTTTTCCCGCTCAATCTTCCCAGCTCACACAGTGACCCTGAGAGCATCCTTACGGAGAGGACACAAAGTCCACAGGCTACTCTGCTAAGTGCAGTTACCAAACAGTGCTGACTTTTTTGGCAGTGCTCAGCGTAACCCGCTGTCATGAAGATTACACGGTATTTGTCCTGAGTCACTCAGCATCCTGCCAGACCTGAGCCCTGCCTCCATGCATCCCTGACTCGGGCCTTGAGTGTGAAGCCTGTGCCCTTGCTTCAGTTTCCCTGGGTGGGGAGGAATCTTAGCCCTTCCTTCTGACTCTACTGATAACTGTTAGGGGAGGTACACCCATAACCCCCTCTACAAATGAAAGCAACGGCAACCTGAGTCCCTTGCCCGTAGTACAACACAGGTTAGCTGGTTAGATGGCCGTCACTTGGCAGCCCTACCAAGACCTCAGTGTGGACAGCCCACTGAGCTGACTTTCAGATGGCACATGGATCGCTGGGAAGAGAAAAATCCAATAGCGGCACAGTGTGTACATATAGATGCAACCTTTTCCTTTCCTGTCTTAAAAGTCATGCTTCTCATAGTGAAAATAATGTATTAAAACAGGAAAACAACAATAACAAAAAACGAAAGGGGATGGAGAGGTGGCTCAATGGTTGGGAGACCTTGCTGCTCTTCCAGAGGACCTAAGTTAGAGTCCAATACTCTATATATGGGGCAACTCAAATTGCCTATAACTCCAGCTCCAGGGGATCTGTCATCTTTATCTGGCCTCAGGGGCCATCCTCCCATATACAACATAATGGTACCTAAACACACACACATACACATAAATTAAAATTTGAAATAAATACTGAAAAATAAAGTCATTGAAAACAACAATACCCCAGCGGTAGGAAAGCAGTCACTCATCTCCAGGAGAGTCACCAGCCAATATTTTGGTATAGTTCTTTCTGTTGTTTTCTCTGGGAAGGAGCTTGAGTATAATTACTATGATTAATACAAGATCTATGTCATGTTTCTTTTTTATTTTCCTAACTTAGAATTGTTTTTTTGCTTATTGTTTGAGACAGGGTCTTACTCTGTAGCCCTAGCTGGCCTGTAACTCACTATGTAGACCAGGCTGGTCTCAAACTCACAGAGATCGCCTGCCTCTGTCTCTCCAAGTGCTGGGATTATAGGTGCATGTTGCTTTATTTATTTGGCCTTGCCATCCTGGAACTTACTATGTAAGCCAGAGTGGTATTGAACTCGCAAGAGTCTTCCTACCTCATCCTCCAAAGACTGGGATTATAGGTATGAGCCAGAATTCTGGCTCAATCAGGATATTTGTGGTAGGTTTAATTTTTTACTAGAGGGATGTGCCCTTATGGAAACCTCAATTATCTGTTTCTCCCCCCTCACTCCCCTTCCTCATTGTCTCTTTTCTATCCTAAATACCATTGGGATGAACATGACATTTGAGACTCTTTTCTCATATTAGATTCCCAACATAAAGTGACTGAGTCGGGGGATGGATGTTTGATGACTTTTGATAAGTATTGCCAAATTACTTTCCTAAGGATTGGACCAGTTTGCAATGCCACCAGCCACGTATGACAGTGCCGGCCTCACCATGCCCACGGCAGCATTGGGTATTCTATGCTTTTTTATATATAACCTGTATAACTGTATAATATGTACATATAATTTACTAAGTTGGTTTGCAAAGACCAAGGCTGTGTCTTGAATGTCTTAATTTACACTTCATTGGGCGAGTGCAGCCAAAACATTTTTACACTTATCCATTAAACATTTGCATTTCATTTTGTGACTTGTCCATGTCCTTTGTCCATTTCTGTGGGAGAGCCCTCTGTCTTTCATCTTGCTGTGTATGGGAGCTGGTGGCTTTCTGCGACTGTGTATATGTCTTTGTTATACCTGTCTATCAGATATACTAGTTCATAACTTTGAAGCCTCGTTCCACAGATGAGAGGAGGGGGAAATGGTTTGCTCCGGGTCCCAGAGGTAATGCCGTAGAGTCTGGACCTGATCTCAGCTTTCAGCACAGCTGACCTGTGCCTTTAACCTGCGCTGCCCTCCCCAGCACAGCCCCTGAACCTCAGTGTGGATGGCAACTCTCTTCCACACTCGGGGCCGTCCCTGGGTAAAAAGCTGAGTCAGAGGAGATGTCACAGGAAATAAGATGGTTGGACCTAGGATAGATCTCTAGGGAAACAGGCGTCACAGAAGGCCTCCTGAAGGGGAGACAGGAAAGACATAAAGGGAGGTCTGAAGGATGCTGGGAATCGGTGGAGCACAGCAGCTTCCACAGACGGGGCAGCATGCCCAGAGGCCCTGAGCAGGGTGGTTGAGGGGCAGCACAGGCCATGTACCTAGAGCTCAGTGAGAAGCATGCAAGGGGCGGCAGGGCCAGACCCTGCTGTGAGCAGACTTGTTACTGAGCAGGGAGCTATAGAAGGCTTTGGGCAGGGGATGAGCTCAGAGTGTAGCTCTAGAGAGATCTTGTTTGCTGCAGTTCCGTGGAGGGATGAAGTGTCTTCAGGAGATGGGAAGCCTGGTCATAGGGCACATGTGTGATCTCTTGGGTATGGAGGATAGGGTAAGGAGGAGTGACAGCTAGCAAGCATCCCTCGGAGATCTCGAGCAAGCTGCTACTCCATTTTGTGTCTACGTTTGTCATCTATAGAAAGAGCCACATCTGCCCTGCTACCTGGCCGGCTAGAGGGCTGTAGTGACAAGAATATCTTGCATGGTGCCAGGGGCTTCCTTCTCATTGCTAAAGAGAAGCTGGTAGGGGACAAAGTGTGGAACAACAGCTTGCTGGTTCTTCTCTGGGCCTGTGCTGGGTCCCTCAAGGGGCCTTACAGCATTTCTGAGGGCTAGCTGGGGCCCGGCCTCACACACACAGCTGGAAGTCCTTTCTCACTAGTGCCCACAGCGGACCTCAGCTTGGCTTCACTTTCCCTCTGCTGCCCTCGGACATTGTCTCTGTTATTCCGATGATACTTTGAGGGGCCATGGCGTGACCTGTCTTCTCACCTTTTCTTCCCCACAGGCAACCTCCGTGCTTACAACATAACGGCCCCCAGCCTACCAGCACCCAGCCTTACACCTCCCCAGATGGTCACCCCAAATCTGCAACAGTTCTTTCCGCAGGCCACACGCCAGTCCCTGCTGGGCCCTCCTCCTGTTGGGGTCCCAATGAACCCTTCTCAGCTCAGCCACTCAGGGAGGAACTCCCAGAAACAGGCAAGAACTCCTTCCACTACCCCCAATCACAAGGTGAGTCGCGCTTTGGGTGGAACCAGGGAGGAGTCGGTGAAGGGGTGCCCCAGTGTCAGCCGGACTCCGTGTGTTAGGGCTCACCTGGCCTTTAGGCAGGTCGTGCTCCCTCATTGTGCCTCAGTGTCCTTGTCTGTAAGATGAAGGTGGCGGTATCTAGTCTCCCAAACTTCAAATACCTCTGTGCCCCTAATGGGACTTTAGCCATACCCAAATACCACTTTGTTATTATTTATGTACTATTTCTCTCTTTAAAACTTTTTTGTTGGTGCTTATTTGTTCATTTGTTTGGCTTTTTGAAAGAGGGTTTCTTTGCCTTGGTTGTCCTGGAACTCGCACTGTAAGCCAGGCTGGCCTGGAATTCAGAGACCTGCCTGCCTCTGCCTTCCAAGGGCTGGCATTAAAAGAGTATGCCACTACCACCCAGCTAATCTTTTTTACTTCATCATTATCATTCATTTTCCGTGTGCCAAGGTGGGCATGAGGAGGTCAGAGAACAACTTGTGTGGGTCTGTTTTCTTCTTCCACTGTGTGGTCCTAGGAACAGAACTCTGGCTATCAGACGCTTCTACCTGCTGAAGCATCTCACTTGCTCTCACTGATGCTGCTCTTTACATCCGCAATGTCTAGCAGAAATAAAACACGAGTCATGCATATGATTTTAAAGATTTAATAACCACATTAATAAGATTAAAGGCCGAGGTATGATGATGATACTCTAACCCCAACACTTGGGGGGCTGGGGTAGAAGACAGCCGCACATTCCAGCCATCCTGAGCAATGGAGAAAGACCTTAAAATTTTAAAAATAAATTCAAAGGAACAGATAAAGTTAATTATACTGCCAAGTGTAGTAATGTACACTGAAAATCCCGGCACTCTGGAGATGACACCAAAGGTTCCGGAGTCCTCCTCAGCTACATAGTGAGTTCTAGGCCAGCTGTCCCAAAACAATCAAACAAAAATGAATAAAGTACAGTAAAATTTACTAACATTTTAGTTAATCTAATATTTTAAAAAGATACCATTTTGATATATATTAAAAATAAATAAATTAGTTGGGTGGTAGTGGTGCATGCCTTTAATCTCAGCACTTGGGAGGCAGGGGCAGGTGAATCTCCAATTTTAAGGCCGGCCTGGTCTACAGAGCAAGTTCTAGGACACCCAGGTCTACACAGAGAAACCCAGTCTCAAAAAAAAAAAAAAACCACAAATAAATAAATAAATAAAAATAAGAATTCTTGCTGATTGATGATTGTTTGTTTGAAGAAACGAGGTCTTACCTCCTAAACTTCAAATGCTTCTGTGCCCCTTATGTTGCCCAGCCTGAACTCAAACATCTTGGCTTAAGTGATTAATCCTCCTGCCTCAGCCTCCCAAGTTCCTAAAACTACCAGTATATTTCACCATGTCCCATTTTGTCCAAAAAAAAAAAAAAGCCCCAAACCACTAAATGCTCAATATCTATTGTGTCATTAAGCTTCCCGCCTTAGCTGAGAGTCCACATCTCAGGTGTTTCCCTGAGGCTGATGGCCACTGTGTGGGACAGGCAGCTCCAAATGTCACTTTTAAGGTTTGAGGGTGTGCCTCGGTGGTAGAGCACAGGCTTGGGGTGTTGGATAGGAAGAATTTTATCACTGCCTAAAAGTTCCAAAACTGTGTAATCCTCATACATAGAGTAAGATAGAGTCCTGGGAAGGCAGGGTATTCACACAGCCGTCTAACGTCTCCAGCAGCTGTCTGGTGGGTCCAGCGGCTTCAGTGGTTCATCTTACCACGTGCAGAAGACTCGGGTCACAGAGAAAAACACAGACACACACACACTCACACACTGTCCTGGACAGACAGACAGACACACACACACTCACACGCTGTCCCTGCATGTCCTTCAGCTCTTTGTACAAGGTCCACTCCCAGGTGTATGCTGGGCATGAACAATGCTCGCTATTTAATTGCTTTCGTTCTCCCCCATCTGTAGGAAGGCATTTCCCTCCAGAGGGGCTCAGCCTGTATCCTTGGGGTTAGGCCTGGCACACCGGAGTCTTGGCTTACCTGCGCACCCGTTTCACATGTAGGAAAACTACAACTGACTCCTTGCGTCTCCCAGGGCAAGAGCTGAGTAGTTTGTAAAGAGCCAAGAGTTCTGGTGTGTTCACTAGGGCAGGAGGCCTCGGGAGCAGGGAGGAAAGCCATGTGGTTGGTCAGCAGTGCAGAGGTGGTATCTGGCCTGGCCTTTCTGTGGGTCTTGAGTGTGTGAAGACAAAGCAGTTAAGACTGGAACTAGGGAGACCCTGTCTCAGATAGATGGCAGTAACAAAAACCCGGAAACCTACTAAAAGGGTCTGGACCTAGCCTATGGTTAGGAGCTCCCCGCAAGAAGCTCTGAAGGCTGGGGGCTTGGCCAGAGAAAGGCCAGTGAGGATGCACAGAGTCAGGCTCCTGGTAGGAGGAAGGCTGGTGGGGGGTGCAGAAGAGGGGAGGAGTGGACAGTTCCTGGCCTGAGATTAGGAGACTCCCGGGACTAGAAAGCCTTCGGAGGGTTTAGGTCAAAGGCTCTTGCTGGCTCCTTAGGGAACAGGGAGTGGGAAGTCTAGATGACCAAGGGAACGAAGAGATTTTGTGGGTACCCAACCCAGATTCAAATGGCAGGCTGCTAGATGGGCACCTGAGACAATAACTCCTGAGATTTTCAGGTCGTCTACCCTTCAGTCCCTCGATCAGGGGGTGTTGGCAAGTGAGGTGGGGGTTAAAAAATGGATTCTAAAAAGAAGCAGGATTCTTCTTCCCAGACAGTGCCTGTGGGAGACAGGGAGGACCCCACAGAGGGGTCTGAAGAGGCCACGGAGCTCCAGATGGACACACCTGAAGGTGAGAAACACGGGCATCAGGGCAGGGGAGAATCCTGGTGGCAAGTGAGCCAGGGCCATCTCCTGGAGCTGTGTTCCCTCACCTGCCTCGATTGCAGACCAAGATTCCCTAGTCTCCCCAGACGACATGGAGACCCCAGTGCTTGACCCTGAGCCCTTTGAGGAATTAGAACCACCAGCTAAGAGGCCCAAGAGGTAAGTGCTGCTGCCAGTGTTGGGGCTCAGAGGCCTGAAGTTAGGCCTTGGCCTCTGGCTTGGGGGAGGGTCAGATTCATCCCTGTGTTTACCTGGGTGTGAGCCACCTGGAGGCCAGGCCGGGCAGCTAGAAGCAAGGGGGTCCTTGCAGAGTACATGGGTGCTGCTAGGTTTGGAGGGTTAATTCAAGACATGTTGCGTGGTGGAAGTCAGTGCCCTGAGTTTAGGTGAAACAGGAGTTAGGAGCTGGGTCATAGGCCTCTCGAAAGATACAGTTTTGATCTTCTTTGATTTTCTTGTTTGGCTTTTTGTTTTTTGAGACATCCTTGGCTACCCCGAACTCACTATGTAGACTAGGCTGCCCTCCGACTCTAAAGACATCCTCTTGTCTTTGCCTCCCTAGGGCTAGGAGCAAAGGTGTGGACACCACCACCTGGCTTTCTGATTATCTTTGGATCTTTCCTAGCTCAGAGGAGGCCACAGAGAAAGGGCCTAAAGGGCAGCCACAAGCAAAGGTCCAGCCTCAGACCCAGATGACAGCACCAAAGCAGACACAGACCCCAGATCAGCTGCCTGAGCCACCAGGAGCCCAAGTCCTGACACAGTTGCAGCCCCAGGTTCTGCAGCATCAGGCTCAGCTGCAGCCAAGGCTGCAGAAGCAGGCGCAGACCCAGACCTCTCCAGAGCACTTAGCACCACAGCAGAACCAGGTACAGTCGTGGGTACATTCCCAGCCCCCATGGCAAGGGCAGCTGCAGGAACCGGACCCAGCCGCAGTCCCTGTGGCAGGTACAGTTGCAGACGCAGGCCCAGACACAGACATATCCACAGGTATCCGCACAAGCACAGCCACAGGAGCAGCCTTCAGGACAGATGCAAGAACAGACATCAGAGAAGACTCAGGACGGGCCTCAGACCTGGCCACAGGGGTCAGCACCCCCACCAGCACAAGTGCCAGTTGTGGCCTGTGCCACAGAACCGCAGCCATCTGGTGCTACAGAAGCTAGGGGAGGTGAGTGAGTGTGGAACCCTGGCCAGACTCAGCCCTGCCCAACCCTTCTTTCTCCCACCTGGCACTGTCTAGCCTTGACTGGGGACTGAGGGTTGGGCCCAGAGTCCAGATCTGGGACCATCCTCATTTTGGACTTCAGGGTCTTGACTGTGGACAGAGAAGCAAGCTCTCTTAAATCTAGATCTTGGACCCCAAATGGTAGACACGCTGTGGGAAGGGAACATATCTGTCGTTTCAGGCCCAGAGGAGGCCTTGCCAGAACCAGTAAGTACCCAGGACAGTGAAGACACGAGCCAGGAGGCATCACCTGGTGACCTGGATGTGGGAGAGTGTGAAAAAAGAGCAAGAGAGATGCTTGGGGTGCGTAGAAGCCTGCATACAGCCACTAGATGCTGGTGTGTGTGTGTGTGTGTGTGTGTGTGTGTGTGTGTGTGTAAGCCTGCATACAGCCACTAGATGCTGGGGAGGGTGTGTGTGTGTGTGTGTGTGTGTGTGTGTGTATGTGTGTGTGTGTGTGTGTGTGTGTGTGTGTGTGTGTGTGTAAGCCTGCATACAGCCACTAGATGCTGGGGTGTGTGTGTGTGTGTGTGTGTGTGTGTGTGTGTGTGTGTAAGCCTGCATACAGCCACTAGATGCTGGGGTGTGTGTGTGTGTGTGTGTGTGTGTGTGTGTGTGTAAGCCTGCATACAGCCACTAGAAGACTCTGGTGATGGTCTGGCATCTGTTTGTCCCAGGCTACCTAAGGATTCTTTGTGTTTCCCCCTGTGTGGAAAGGACAGTGGCCTTGTGCCTGGCTGCATGAATGAGCCACCCGGTGCTTTCTCTGCTCCTGTGTCTTTTTTCTTAAGATCTGGATGTGCTTTTGGTCTGGCCACTCCACACTAGAGCTGCGAGTCCCTCGTGTGGTGATATCAGTCATTTTAGTGCAGAGTACCTTGGCAAAAAAACCTCCAACTCTACCTTCTAACAATCTTTAAGCCAACCTCTCTTCTTTCTTGGGTCTCAGTTTCCCCGTCCATCATGTGAGGGGTGACATGGGTTGGATTTTAGAATTAAACAGAGTTAGGTTGGGAGTAGTGGGTGGCACACATCTTTAACCCAACCCTAGGGAGGCAGAGGCAGGCTGATCTCTGTGACTTTCAGGCCAGCCTGATCTACATAGTGACCCACATACACACATAACTAGGTTCAAATCCTGGCTGTCATATTCTCTGTGTAGTTTTGGGCAGTCACATAAGAACCTAACCTCAGGTTCCCTGTCTGTCAGGAAACTTTGAGGAAACGATGCTGGCAGGTGTTCTTGTCGGGGCTGGAACACCATCAACACTCAGATGGTGGAAACTCTTGTCTCTGAATCTACTGTAGATGTGGGGGGCTGGGGGCTCCCTGAAGGTCACCATCCTGCAGAGCAGTGACAGCCGGGCTTTCAACACCACGCCCCTCACATCTGGACTTCGCCCTGGGGACTCCACATCTGCTGCCCCTGCCCTTGCCAGCATACCCTCCCAGCAGACCCTCCAATTCTTCTGCTATATCTGCAAGACCAGCTGCAACAGCCAGCAGGTACTCAGGGCTGGAGCGGGGGGCTCAGGCCTGCTAGGCTTGTGGGCTTACTTTCTCTACACTGCCCAGGGGCTGCCCATCTGCCTGGACATTTCCTGACCAGCTGGTAGAACAGGTTTTTAGGGTTGGAAAAGCTGGTCTGAACCAGTCAACAAGGCCTCCAGAAGTAAATTCCACTCTTGCGTCTTTTCCTCTTGTGTTTAGTGAGGAAAGCCAGAACCTACCTAACTGTGTGTCTTAGGGCCTCAGCACTTGACATTTGAAGTTCTGGACCCAGGTCTAGCCCAAGCTTAGTCTCAAGTGGGTTGATTCTAGGCTCTTGGGAAGCTGAGGCAGGGGGATGATGAGTTTAATGGAAACCTGGTCAGCTTAGTGAGAGAGAGCCTGTCTCAAAATAAAACATTTAAAAAGTACAACCAAGATATAGCTCAGCCCTTGTTTAACATGTGATGAACAGTATAAGTAAATACGTGGTATTCCTGGCTGGGTGTGTGTGGGCTTCCTGCAGCTGTCCTAGCTTCCTAGAAGATTAGAACAGGACCCGTAAGCATGTGAGTTTCAGATCAACCTGGGCAATATAGATAGAACTCAAGGGCTGGAGAGATGGCTCAGAGGTTAAGAGCACTGACTGCCCTTACAGAGTTCCTGAGTTCAATTCCCAACAACCACATGGTGGCTAACAGCCATCTATAATGAGATCTGGTGCCCTCTTCTGCCATGCAAGCATACAGGGAAGGAATGTTGAATACATAATAAATAAATAAATCTTTAAAAAAAAAGAACTCAATTATCTATCTGTAAAATTAAAAAGACAAACTTTTTTTTTAAAAAAAAACTTGGTGCTCGCTTTGGCAGCACATATACTAAAATTGGAACAATACAGAGAAGATTAACATGGCCCCTGAGTAAGGATCACACGCAAATTCGTGAAGCGTTCCATATTTTTTAAAAATCAATTTTAAAAAAGACTTGTTTATTTTTATCTTATGTGTCTGAGTATTTTGACATATGCCTTATCACTGTGCCACATGGGTCCAGTGCCATCAGATCCTCTGCAACTCGAGTTACGGAAGGTTGTGAGCCACCATGTGGGTGCCGGGAACCAAACCCAAGTCCTCAAGAAGAGCAGCCAGGGCTCTTAACCCCCGAGCCATCTCTCCACCTCCCCCCAGTTTTTTTTTAATGCTCTTACTTATCTCCGGTGACTGTTCCTGTTCTTCCCTGTGACTGTGGTCCTTGTGTGAGCAGGACCGTTTAGAGCCATGTTCCTTCACTACAGCGCTCCCAGAAATGGGTGTTTACCATCCTTGTCCTGGCCTGCGTGAGCTGTGTGAAATATTGCCACTGTGGGGACACATGCTGGTGTGACAGCGGAAGAAACGGAGGCAGGGGGTCCAGAGATGCCGGGTGGCATGGCTCATGGCCGCCTCTGCTTCCTTCACGCTGCAGGAGTTCCAGGACCACCTGTCAGAGGGTCAGCACCAGCAGCGGCTTGGGGAAATGCAGCGCTCGAGCCAGACCTGCCTGCTATCCCTGCTGCCCATGCCTCGGGACATCCTGGAGAGAGAGGCGGAGTGAGTAAAGGCTGGCAGAGGCTCGAGTATACTCTCCTGCCATCTGCCTGGGGAATAATAATAATAATAATAATAATTGTTATTATTATTATTATGGCTCTGCATTGATTGACTATAACCTCGGGCCTCAGTTTTCCCTGTCTATAAAATAGCCTGATGGGGGTGTAGTGACAGTGTCCTAGGGGTCCTTCCAGGCCAGAATAGAATAGTGTGACACCCTGTGTGGTTGGGAGGACGGCTGTGGTGCAGAGCCCTGCTCCTCTGGCCTGTGTGCCGGCGCCAACCGTAGAAGCCGCCAACCGTAGAAGCACCGTAGAATGGCAAGAATCAGGTCATCTTGTGGCCTGGGGTTAGACCTTCCCTGGGCCCTCCTTCTGCTGTTGGCATGTGCTTGGTCTGAAATGTCCACCCTAGAGTCTGGAACTAGCACTTGGGGTGACAAGGCTGGGTGGGAAGCTCTAGGAGCTGCCAGGCCCCAGTGCGTTGTCACAAGCTGAACCATATAGACTTGGGAACTGGGAGATAAGGGCTGTGTCCAGAGTGCCCCGCATTTCAGGGGACTCCAGGAGCCTGAATAACTTTTGAAGCCTCCCAATTTCAGAGTGTCAACAAAGCCAGCTATGGTACACGCCCTGTGATCCCAGCACTCGGGAGGCCAAGGCAGAAAGATCAAGAGGTTCTTGTTTTGGGGTTTTTTTGTTTTCTTCAAGACAAGGTTTCTCTGTGTAGCCCTGGCTATCCTGTAACTCAGAGATCCGCCTGCCTCTGCCTCCCAAGTGTTGGGATTAAAGGCCTGCGCCAGCACTGCCTGGCATGAGATCAAGAATTTAAAGCCAACTGCTTAACGAGATCTCAGAGTTGACTTATTCAGGATTACAGTAAACCCTGTTGGAGACCTTTCTCAGGCTGGACAGTTGTCTGTGTCAATGGTTGGGGGTTCTACTGAGGACGGAAGCCAGCAGACTCATGTCCGCTCTGCTTGTTGCCTGGCGGACAAAGAGCTCATGTCTGTTAGCTCTTGGGGTCAGGAGCTGTTGCTCTTTTCTTGTCTTTTTGATACTAGACTCCTGGCCCCTCAAGGAGGCACCGCAGGCTGACCCCCACCCTGGCTTCTGAACCACATACACTTCCAGAGCACTCTGGGAGAATGTAGCATCATGCCCTGCTTTGTTTTCATTGTGCCATTCAGAGATCCTCCACCAAAACGCTGGTGCAACACCTGCCAGGTGTACTACATGGGAGACCTGATCCAGCACCGCAGGACACAGGAGCACAAGGTGCGAGGGCCGCTCACGCTTCGAAGGCACCTGTGTGTGCCACAGCCAGGTGGGGGAGGGGGTCCGGGTGGGAGTGGGATGCAAAGTCTATTTTTGTCTTCATGTGACTATCACTCACGTGACTTCTGGTGAGTCAGTCATGTTCCTTTTGGGCTTTTACTTTGCCCATCTGTTCAGTGTAGGCACCAGCTCACCCTGCTATTCAGCCTCTACCCTACTGAGGTGTCTTTGGTGGCTGTCCTCCCTCCTAGCCTGTCTCTGTTGCCACCTACCTCCCACATAGTGAAGAGAACTGATTTTGCATGTCCTGTTGTAGGGTCAGAGCTGGGTTGAGCCCGCAAGCTTGACAGGTGAGGTCTCATTGGGCCACTGATAGGGTGGCTTGTACCTAGGAATGCTACAATGCACCACATGGCCTGCCTTCCTTTCCCCAGATCGCCAAACAATCCCTGAGGCCCTTCTGTACCATCTGCAGCCGTTATTTCAAGACCCCTCGAAAGTTTGTGGAACATGTGAAATCTCAGGGACACAAAGACAAGGCCAAGGAGGTAACCCCCACTGCCTGAGCACAGCATGAATCCATTCCCCAAGATCATAGAGCAAGGCCTAGAACCATCAGAAGTGTGTGGTACCTTAGCTGCCCATAGCTGACTTAAGTCCCTCGCCCGTGCCTTGGGCAGCTGAAGACACTTGAAAAGGAGATAGTGAACCCAGAGGAGGAGCACTTCATCACAGTGGATGCCGTTGGTTGCTTCGAGAGTGATCAAGAAGAGGACGAGGATGATGAGGAAGAGGAAGAGATTGAGGCTGAGGAGGAATTCTGCAAGCAGGTATGTGGGGTGAGCCGTTCGAGGCTATTGGGGACCGAGGGGCTGTCCTGCTCCTTGAGGGACCCAGACACTGTGCTGGCATTTGTAGGCACTAATACATGACGCAGTTATGGGCTGTGTCACATGGCCATGGAACTCGGCATGAACATTGAGTGACAGGTAACATATGCAAAGGCCTTAAAGACTGAGATACTATATGGGACAAGGGAAGGCAGAGGGAACAGTGCTTAGCAAGGCACAGAAGGCATGCTACAACAGTCCTGGGAGGCTTTGGGTAAGATTTCCCTGCTATTCTTTTTTTTTTTTTTTTTTTTTTGGGTTTTTGAGACAGGGTTTCTCTGTAGCTTTGGTGCCTGTCCTGGAACTAGCTCTTGTAGACCAGGCTGGCCTCGAACTCACAGAGATCCGCCTGCCTCTGCCTCCCGAGTGCTGGGATTAAAGGCGTGCGCCACCACCGCCCGGCTCCCTGCTATTCTTGGACAAAGTAAAAGAAACGCAGGTGGATTGGGGTGGGGAGGGGAAGGCAGTGGACTAGGAACTATAGCCCAGTGGTAGAGTGCTTGCCTAGCACGGGCAAAGCCCTAGATTCACCCCCCTAGTACCGGGGGAGGGAAGTCATACAGGCTCCAGCACGAAGGAGGCTGAAGCAGAGGGTTGAGAGCTCCATCCTGTGCTATATACCAAGACCCTGTCTCCAAAAAGAAAAAAGAAAGAAAAGAAAGAAAGAAAGAGGATGGAGAGATGAGTAGGAGGTGGTGAGAAGCTGTGCTGCTCCCAGAGGACCTGGGTTCAATTTCCCACACCATGTCAGACCGCTCCTGACTGCCTGTGCCTCCAGAGCTCTGGAGATTTGACAGACGCTAGCCTCAGGTACCCACGCGTGCACACACTCAAGTGTGCTGAAAAAGCAGCCTCAGAAAGGAAGTGTTTATTCTTTCTGGCTTGGAGGACGGGGCTAACTGGAACCCACAACGCAGTCATCAGGACACCTGGGAGGCAGGATCGGCATGTGCCGTGGCTCGGCTCAGAGGCCACCCTGAACGGGCTGTAAGCCAAGGGCATGGTTGTGCTCTGGAGACCATGTGTGCACTGCAGGCCCCTGACCTGTGTCCGGGTGGGGCCGGAGGCACCACATTTGAGCTCTCGCTCCCTCTCCAGGTGAGGTCAGGAGATACATCCTTAGAGGAATGGAAAGGCTCAGAGACTTACAGCCCCAACACTGCATATGGTAAGACCCCCAGCTAAGCCCCCAGCCGCCACAGCACCCCAGTCTAGCAGCCCACCCTCTGGTGCTCTTCTCTTCTCCCACCTAGAGCAGGTGAGACACCCAGCTGGTGAGAGGGACCTGGGTATGCAGCCCCTGTTGTCTGTCGCCCAGGTGTGGACTTCCTGGTGCCCGCGATGGGCTATGTCTGCCGCATCTGTCACAAGTTCTACGACACTAACTCAGGATTGCGGCTCTCCCACTGCAAGTCCCTGGCCCACTTTGAGAACCTGCAGGTGAGTGGCCATCTGACTGCCCTGCCCGGGGGCACGACCTGTTCATATTGGTGGGTATGACCAGCAGCTGTTTGCTGCTGTACCAAGGCAGTTCCCGAGCATGTTCCACTCTGGCTTGGCTCTTTGTGTTACGTGCTTGTGCGTGTTGCAGGTCCGGGTGGGGGTGGGGTGGGGGTGACGCCAGAGCCTAGAGAGGATCACACAAGAGATCATTACTGTTTAGGCCCAAGTGGGGAAGCAGCTGCTGGCCAGGCGTGCCCTACACTGCACCTAACTTGAAAACTTTTGTATCCAGAAATACAAAGCAGCCAAGAACCCCAGCCCTGTCAGCAGGCCCGTGAGCCGCAGATGTGCGATCAACGCCCGCAATGCCCTGACTGCACTGTTCACCTCTAGCAGTAGCGGTGGCCGCCTGCCCAGCCAGCCCAGCTCCCAGGACACAGCAAAAATACCCAGCAAGGTGAAGCCTGGATGCCCCAGGCCCCCTCCTTCCCTTCGGCGCTCAGCTCGCCTCAAAACCTGATAGAGGGAGCTCCGGCCAGCCAGCCTGACTAGGGCCCGGCCTGCTAATGTTTTCTAGGTACTGCGTGGAGATGTTCACGTGGTTGATGTTATTACTCAAAATCCAATAAAGAGTTGCTCCGCTTTGCAGCCCCCACCAGCACTGTGTCGGGGTGGAGACAGGGAAGGGCACCTACTCTCTGGACACAGTGTGGTGGAGGACCAGGAAACCAAAGTCAGGCTTCCTGAGATGCAGGGTCTCTGGGATAGGACTACAAGGGACTTCTCTGAGCCTCAGTTTCCCTCATAGTGTATCAGGGATAGAAAGGCAACTTGAGAGAAAATTCTTTTTTTTTTTTTTTTTTTTTTTGGTTTTTTGAGACAGGGTTTCTCTGTGGTTTTGGAGCCTGTCCTGGAACTAGCTCTTGTAGACCAGGCTGGTCTCGAACTCACAGAGATCCGCCTGCCTCTGCCTCCCGAGTGCTGGGATTAAAGGCGTGCGCCACCACCGCCCGGCTTGAGAGAAAATTCTTATGGCTGGTGGCCCTAGCAGATGGTCTTGTTCCTACCCCTAAGTTGCAGATAAACAAACAGGCCTTAGCAGGGTCATGTGACTTGCCAAGTCAGACTGGCCAGGACTTAACCCTAGGTGTAAATTCTTTTTTTTTTTTAAATATTTATTTATTTATTATGTACGCAATATTCTGTCTGTATACCTGAAGGCCAGAAGAGGGCGCCAGACCTCCCTACAGGTGGTTGTGAGCCACCATGTGGTTGCTGGGAATTGAACTCAGGACCTTTGGAAGAGCAGGCAATGCTCTTAACCACTGAACCATCTCTCCAGCCCCTAGGTGTAAATTCTTGGCCCGTGTGTTGGCCTCTGTCCAGCTGCATCTCACAGAAGCCAGAGCAGACATGGAGTTAAGATTTGGGACTGGGAGGGTCCCCTGCTGCTGAGGTTCAGCTCTTGATTGGCCAGGAAGGCACAACCCTTCTAACCCAAAGACAGATGAGCAGTGAAGGGACCCAGCCTTAGCTCTGTTGTTTCCTCATTTATAGAGAAATGACCTTCAGAGATAAAATGGCCTGGCTGTTAGTGCCAGCTGGGAAGACTAAGGCTAGAGTGGAAGGCACCACGGTTTACTGTCAGATCTTGGGACGGTTTTCATGGTGAAAGGCCCTAGTGCCCAGAGGCTGAATGAGCTCAGTCACAGAGCATGTCTGTCTCTGCCAGGCTGGGAAGCAGCTGCTAGCAGGCAACACACCAGGCAGGGAGGAAGCCCTGACCTTGCCTGTATCCTCTGCATCAGAAATGAAAAGTGGCTAAGAACCCCAGCCCCACGACGTGGCTCAGGAGCCTCAGTCTGCTCCATCTGCCCCCAGTGGCTACTGGGGCCCCTACCCTGACACAAAGAGGCAAGAGGGGCAGTAGTGTGGGAGATCTCTTTAATATGGACACTCAATCCAGGGTGGAGGGGAAAGAGACCGGAGCTGGGCAGGTGGATGAGTGAGTGAGTTGTAGGACCACACCTGGCTCCAGAAGGGATGATGGGGCAGTGGGGCTTGGTCCAGGCAGGTAGACCCACTGGGGGATCTGAAGGCCAGTACCTGAGATGGTGTCTAAGCCAAGTGGTATCTACCCCGGCCAGAACATGGCCTATAGAGGCGAGGCCGGGACGTTTGGGGCTCCCGGCACCTAGGGGCTGGAATCACTAGGGGCCTCCCCGAGTTGTTGCTGGAATTCCAGGCGTGTCTGCCGATTAGACTCCAGCAGCTCCTGGAGGCGGGCATGGAGGTGGTCGTTCTTCTCCTCCAGGTGGTCCAGACAAGAGTTGATCTGATCCAACATGGAGTTGATGGCAGCGTACTCTGGGAGGAAGGGAAAAGACAGAGGGAAGGTCCCATGTCTCCTCAGGGCTGACAGACACAGTACACCCAGTGCCCCCAGCTCTCCCCAACCTTTCTGATTCTCAGTGTCCCCGTGCAGAAAATGAGTAGGTACCACAAGTGTCACAGAAATCATCCATAGCACAGCTTTCTTGTAGGGTCAGTGTGGTCCTGGCGCAATCTGCCAGTGTCCTGGCTGGTGGCCCTATCATATGCCAAGCTTCCTCTGCATTTCCTTCCATAGCTCCCTAGACGTCCATGTTCCAAAGCGGGGCAGTCAAAAGCTGCAGTCTAGCCATGGCCTGACCTCCAGCCCCTCTGCAGCTCTCTCTGCCTTCACAGTAGTGTCCAGCAGCTTCCAGACCCTGGAGCAGACCCAGCCCATTTCCCCTTTAGCCCCTTCTCCCTCCCACCTCTTTCTTCTCCCCTCACACTGGCTTAGCTCGTCTCAAGCCCTCTGCACGTACTGATGGCTCTGCCTGGAATGTCTTGGGTGGCCTTGTCTTTCCCTCTGGGATGAATATCATTTATCTAAGTCTCGGTATGGCTATCGCCAAAGGGAGCCCTCCCGGTATCCCACACTGGACCAGGCCTTTGTCTGAGTCTCTAGCCTCCACCTTGCACAGCTTTCCCCTCATACGAGCTGGACAATAGTCTGGACTCCACCTCACACTCAGTCTGGGAGAGGTGACAGGTCTTGTGTTCTCTGCTGTTTCCCCAGTGCCCTCGACGACACAAATAAGCACTTAATGAATGAGTGAATGAATGCAGCTCTGACTTCCCAGTCCCTGCTCTTGCTCAGCTGTCTACCATCTAGAACTCATCGACCACAACAGCCCTTCAAGGAACAGCTCAAACACCTCCTCCTCCGAGTCTTCTCCATCTTCCTCTACAGTGACTTCTGACCTGCCTCTTGGCAATCCTATGTCCCTCAGGACCCAAGGTCTGGGACTGTGCCCACTGTGGGTCCCAGTTCTGCGCCAGCCATGACTCAGAAACACTCAGCTGCCAGCATGGGACCAAAGGGGAAGTAGCTGGTGGATTTAAGAAAAAGGCCCAGGGAGGGTGTCTGGGATATGCCTTTGGGGGATGGTTCCCAGAAAGGGCATCCCTTACTGAAGATAGAGCCTCTGAAGGCTGCTGGATCTTAAAGTCCAAACCCCCTGGTACACATGGGGAAACTGAGGCCTAAGAAGGAAGGAACCAGACAGCTTCCCATAGCTACTTGGTGGCAGGAGCAAGACTCAGATCTGAAGGTCAGAGACCCTGAAGGTCAGAGACCCAGAAGGTCTGTACCCCAGCAACTCCTTATTGGAGTAGGGGACACTGAGGTCCCAGGACACCAAGAGCTCAGTTGGGGTCTGGCGACAGCAAGAACTTAATGACAGCTGTTAAGACCCATCCTTCCCAGTTTCATGGCAGGCTAGCCAAGGGGTGAGGAGAGACGGTGCCTTCATCGATGTCAAGGGTGCTTCCTAGCCGTTGTTCCTGTCCTGGGTCAGACAGCCTGCACCTCACCATCTCAGTGTCCACTCGGGGTCACACCACACCCTCACCGAGTCCCCTCATGATGTTCCCACCATGGCTGCTAGCACTCACTGCACAGCACCTGCCTCCAGGAGGACAACCTTTATTAAGAGCAGAACCCGGGTAGTGAAAATATTCTGAAACTTGTCCAATGGCTATGCTGGGAATTCAGTGAAAGCCTGCGGAACTGTACAGTTTATGTGGTAAAATCTATTGTGTGACTTACAGCTCAATAAAGAGTTTATAACAAAGCAAAAGCATACTCCATCCTTACTGCACAAGACCTGCTCTCTCGGTAAGGCACCAGGCTTGCTAAGAAAAAAAAAAAATACAAGCACTGTCCACTTTCAGAAGGAACTTGTACGCTGGAAGCTTAGAGTCTAACCATTTTCCATTCCGTTCTGCCCTTTAGTCCCCACACATCCCAATACAGGAAACACCAATGTGCCCAGTATTGCAGATGGAAAACTGAGGTTCCCAGACGTGCAAAAGGAGTCTGTGGGCTGATTCTTCCCCTGAGGTGCTTCCGCAGTGCTGTGCACCCAACATAGTGCTTGGTAAGCAGGTCACACCAGCAAAGCCAGGAGGCTGGGGGTGCTGACTCAGCACAGTGGGGCGCCCACCGGGCCAACCCCCTCCTGCAGAGAGCCAAGCAGAAGGGGGGGCTTCAGCGAAGAAAGTGGTGAAGCAAATCTCAAATCGACAAGCTTCTCTGACGCTGCCTCAGTTTCCCCTATGTAACCATGGCTGGTTAGCGACAGTTCCCCGGTACTGCTGCGTCCAGGGATCCGTTCGCTAGCGCTCGCTCGCCATTGCCTCCGAGGCGACTGTGGGGACAACTCCAGAGCCACCCAGGGGCGGGGTGGGACGGCTCTTCAGTCCCTCACACACACCTCCATCCCGTTCCCATTTCAGATCCCAGGACGGCACCCCTAGCAAAGCAAAGGTAGCCTCGGCAGCACGCCCACGCCCCGGTCACCTGCTTCCCCGAAGCTGTCATTCTCGCCTTCCGCGCCCACATCCACCGGCATGCTTAGGTCCCCGTTGGGGCCCGACATTGCGGGCTCGGGCACCGCAAAGGCAACGCGAAAATGGAATTTGGCGACCGTCGCGCGGAAAGCCGACGCTGGGCGGAAGGTGCAAGCAGCTGATGGAACTCTGGGCCGGAAGGGTGGGCGCACCCCGGCCCGCCCTGAGCCCCGCCCAGAGCCCAGCCCCAGGCCTCACAAGCCACGCCCTCAAGCGGGGCTCCGCCCCTGTTCGCTCTCAGGCTCCTCCTCTCACTTCCGTGTCGCGTCCGTCTCTTGGGCGCTGGACCCCGCGGAGCCAGCGCACTCACTGAAAGCCAGGCAGTAGAAACCCTGGCCCGCTAGAGCTTGAGACTTCTACTAGGCTACATCCTGCTGCCTTCGTCTCTTTTTTTCTTTTTCTTTTTTTTCGAGACAGGGTTTCTCCGTAGCTTTGGAGCCTGTCCTGGAACTCGCTCTGTAGACCAGGCTGGCCTCGAACTCACAGATATCCTCCTGCTTCTGCTTCCCGAGTGCTGGGAATAAAGGCGTGCGCCACCACCGCCCGGCTCTCCTAAGGATTTATATAGCTTCGAGAACTTTATTCCCAGTGACAAGGAATCCGCATTTTTCCCATCTCCCCCAGGTGCAGCCGAGATGACCCACAACCGTGTCCTATCTTGGCCTTATCTCTTCTCTTTGGGCTCTCAAAGACTACACTTATGCCGGGCGGTGGTGGCGCACGCCTTTAATCCCAGCACTCGGGAGGCAGAGGCAGGCGGATCTCTGTGAGTTCGAGGCCAGCCTGGTCTACAAGAGCTAGTTCCAGGACAGGAACCAAAAGCTACAGAGAAACCCTGTCTCGAAACACCAAAAAAAAAAAAAAAAAAAAGACTACACTTATGGCTAGAAATCAGACCAGGCTCCAGCCTGGACAGTAGATGTAGAGTCAGTCCGTTTGACCAATGCCAATAAATAGGGCATGAAGCGGGTGGCTGGCATCCACCTGTAATGCCAGCTCCAGGGAAATTCAATGCCTCTGGCTTCCTCAAACACCTGCACTCAATGTGCACCACAGACAGACAGACATATCATTAAAAGTAAAAATAAACTGGGCAGTGGTGGTGCACACCTTTAATCCCAGCACTTGGGAGGCAGAGGCAGGCGAATATTTGGAAGTTCAAGGCCAACCTGGTCTACAGAGCGTGTTCTAGGACAGGACTGTTACACAGAGAAACCCTGTCTTGAAAAATCAAAACCCACTGTCTGTTCTGAAGGACCTGGGTTCAACTCCCAGCACCCACCATGGTGGCTCATGACTCTGTAACTTCAGCTCCAGGTGATCCGACTCCTCCTTCTGGCCTCTATGAGAACTATGGCATGTATGTGGTTCACGTACATATAGGTAGGAAAACATAAGTAAATATACATAAATAAATAAACATACATAAATAATGTGGGCATGGTGATGCATGCCTTTAATCCCAGCCCTTTGGAAGCAGAAGCAGGCAGAACTCTATGAGTTCAAGGCTAGTCTGCTCTTCATAGAGTTCCAGACCAGCCAGGGATACATAGTAAGACTCTGATCCAAAAGAAAGAAATTAGAGCCGGGCGGTGGTGGCGCACGCCTTTAATCCCAGCACTCGGGAGGCAGAGGCAAGCGGATCTCTGTGAGTTCGAGGCCAGCCTGGTCTACAAGAGCTAGTTCCAGGACAGGAACCAAAAGCTACGGAGAAACCCTGTCTCGAAAAATCAAAAAAAAAAAAAAAAAAAAAAAAAGAAATTAGATCTGTGTTCAAATTGGAGCCCAGGAATGAAGTATGTGGGTGTAGCTTCCTTTCCTGGCTAGTCATTGAGGCTTTAACTAGGAGGTTTTAGCTGTACTTCTCCATCTGGAACCTTCCCAGACTTGAACGTTGCCTCTATCCCTCCCTGGCTGCTCAGCCCAGCGTCAGCCAGATCTCTTCCTTTAGTCCAGCCCAGATTTCAACACTTTCTGCTGAGCTGGGTCTCAGGTCTAAGCTGCCCCCTGCAGGACTGTGGGTGTGGCTTGTCGCCACTTGACACACCTCTCTTTTCAGTCAAGGTGAAAAGGGCAGCGTTTGTGTGTGAGATGGGAAAGGGGTTCATTTGGAACCTCATGCATTCTGGGAAGGGGGAAGAGAAATGGCTGCAGACTCCTAGCAATCGCAGGTTCGGGATGAATGTGGGGTGTCTGTACCTCATACCCCCTCCAGGCTCTCCCAACTTCCCAGTTCCAGAGGGGCTGCCCTTTGGGACCTGTGCAGGTGGCCAAGTGCAGGATGCCCATTGGAGACAGGCACGGAGGAGCTGTGTTGCCCTCGCTGGAGCCACCAAGCTAAAACAGCAGCAAGTGTAATGTGGTTCTGTACAGGAGGGACTTGGGGCAGTTAGTGGTCACGATGGTGGAAGTTGGGGCAAGGCTGGAGTTCTGGAGCCTTCTTTTCCCTGAGCCTTCTTTCTGCAGCCCTACCATCTTGCTGGACTAACATTGATGTGAACCCACCCTCTGCCCCTCCCCTCATTGTTATGGGGTTAAGCAGCACACACTCAAGAGAACTTGGGACATGCATTTATTTAGCAGAGAAGTGGGTGTCATTTGGGGCAGATGGCTGGGCAGTGCTGCCCAGATGAGAAGAGTTATCTGCTACTCATTGGTATTGTGACTGGCGGGGTAACCAGGTGGCTCTCAGCAACAGGAGAGATGGGACTGGGGACAGACAGGAAGCACCTGAGAAACTGTAGCAGAATCAGAACACCACCGTTCAGGGGAAGAGTGTAGACAAGCTGGAGACCCCCATCCCCTATGCCCTGGCCTCCCACCGAGCCGCTGCCCATCCCAGCCAGCCACAGGCTGGAGACCCCCGTCCCCTACACCCTAGCCTCCCACCCGGCCCCTCCCCATCCTAGCCACACTCACCGCCTGTTCAGTTGTCAATGCATTGGTCTGTAGGAGAGAAAGTTCGTCAGAAGAGAGTATGGGGGCATGTGTTTGTGATGTCTGGCCCCTAGGAACCTGTGCTTCCTCAGGTCCAGACTAGCCCAAATATAAAAGATCTGGGACTTCTTTCAGGGTTGGTACAGAGAAAGGACCCATGTGGAACAGACAACACGAGAGAAAGACCCAAAGGACTGCCAAAGGGCAGGGGTGGGAGGTATTTAGCGGATCATGTATCCAGGCTTTCTGCCTGCTTATCTGTTGGGCCCTGGTAGCATCTCAGTTGGTGGCTCTATGTGACCTGACTGGAGGAGCCTCCTGCCCAGGCTACTTGAAAACAAGATGTCTCCCAAGTCATGGGATGGGGAGAGGCCCCAGACAACAAGGCTCGGGGTTTGTAGGTTTGTTTGTCCAAGGTTCCAGCTGTAGGCGGAAGTGGCTTGGGGCAGCACTGCTGAGGGTATTTGGACATGGACCAGGTTTCCTCATCTGGGAATGTTCTGGGTCAACTGGCAGAAGGAAAACTTAGGGCTGGGATCCCTAAGGACTCCACAGACCCCAGGGTGTCACAGAGTCTTCCAGACCTCAAGGTGGATCCCAGTGGCTAGAGCAAGGGACCGTGTCTTCCCTTTCTCTGATGGGCAGGTATCAGCCTGGACAGTCCCCACATCCCCACGTCCCTTTCCCCTCTCCCCAGCTGGCCTTTACCGGTGGGGACAGAGAAGATGATATGCTCATCTGTTAGGCCCAGAGACTTGGCAAAGCGGACAAAACGCTCCTTTAGTTCATCGGGCAGTTCCTTGGTTCTTCCTGCAACCAAGATCAGCAGAGAGCGGTCACGGGACACTCCATACATATCACTGACCTAGCAAGTGAGGTCTCAGACTTGTTATCCGTGGAGGTCTGCAGAGAGCCCACTCCCTGGGCTGAGACTGTGGGATCCCAACCTTGAGTGTAACCGGAAGTTGAGTCCCTAAGCGTCAGCCAAGAACTCACCATACAGGGTGACCTTGAAGTACTGTTTGTTTCCAGAAGTCCTCTTCTTGAAAAACACCATGGCAAACTGGTCGTAGTCAGTAGTGGCCACTTGTACGTTGTAGCTCCGTATCTTAGGATAACCTGCGGGCAAGAAGGACAGGGGATGGGTTCTGCCCCGAGAAGAGGAAAGCGGGTGTTGTGTACTTTCTACCCGACTTTCAGAGTGCCTCTCCCCATTACAGAGTCTGGGTAGAAGGACAAGGGCCCCACTCCTCTCAGCACTCACTGCGAATGTTTCCCAGGGTGAACCGGCCAGCCCTGGAGCTCTGAACAAAAGTTCTGATCCAGTAGTCACAGCGCTGGTCCCTGTGGGAAAGCCGGGAGTGAGCAGGGATGTGGCACAGGCCGGAATGCCCCTTGGATTAGGGTAGTGGGGTTAGAATTCTGGTGTCCTCCACCCTTGTCTGTCCAACCAGTAATAGCCTGTCCCCAAACCTGGCAGGAAGCCCCACCCACCCATCTTAGATGCATCTGGGCCTTCCCCCTCTGGGTCTTCCCTGCCTGACCCCGCTGAGACCCTTCCCCCAGAATATACAGATCCTCTTCCTGGTGCCTTAGTGCCGTGACCTCCCCTCCCCATACACAATCCAGGCCCGATGTAAGTAGCCCTACTCCTTTCCCTGCTCCCTCTCTGCCGCCTCCCTCGGGAGGTTATTTCTGAGCTGCTAACCTGCTACAAGCTAAGCATCACATTTTGAGCCCTTAGGCCATATTCGGCTTTTCCTCCAATCCCACCCAATCCTGTCCTCCACAGCTGAGCTCCTCAAACCTGCCTTTCATCTACTTTTGTTCCTCAGCTACCCAGCTCTGCAGGTGGTGAGCCCCGACTGCCCTCTCCCCAATCGACACCCTGGCCCCACCACTGTCATCTCCCCAATGGACCCCCGACCTCATTCTCTGTGTTCTTCCCACTCTGGTGGCACTCTCCCCCATTCTCCCGTGCTCCAGCTGAGCCAGGACTGCCCTTGCAGGAGCCCCAGACCAAGCCCTGGCACAGGGTGAAGCGCCCCAGAGACTATCACACTCCTGGTTGCCCATCAACCCTTGCTCGGGAGGCCATGCCAATGGCTGACTGCATCTCGAAGGCACAGCATCTGACACAGGGCCCACCAGCTCCTGCTATGCTTACTTCTGCCTCCTTCCAGGTCACCTCCCTGGAGGCCCTGGATAGAGGCCAG